CTGGGGCAAGATGTTCTTTTCCTTTTGCTATAGAAACCTTTAAGAACACAGAACTACCTATTGGGACATTATTTCTGTAACTAGGGTAACAGGGCTCTGTTTCTGTAACTGGGTGACTGGGCTAACTGTGATTGGTTAGGCTTCCCGCCACTTGACTGCACTCTCCCGCTTCTGTAAAAAGAGAGAAATAATACCTACCAGTATTGAACAAACCTGTAACCTAGCTTGCTAGCATTGGCTAGACCCCGAACATCCCTTTTGCAGTTTTCAGGCTTATAAGGAGCGCCCTTGCAATTGTTTGGGGCTGATCAGGGGAACAGCTTTATGTTCTGGTCAGTCGCCTCTAGTGTGCTTCAATAATGCTTGATTCGATTATACGTGAGTGGTCTGGAAGTCAGTTTATGAAACCCTGGGACGAGGCTTTAACTGTAACAGAAGCAGAAGGAGTTCAAATTCCTGGCTCTGTACCGACCAGCTGAGTTGGCTGATTAGACCAATTAAAAAAAAAAAAGAGAGAAATAATACCTACCAGTGTTGAACAAACTGATACCATTGGCCACAATGAATGGTAGGTATTAAGAGCCAGCTGATTTGTGCCTATCCTGAATCAGCATCCCTGACCCAATCTGATGTTCTTCTGAGTATCCCAGGATGGGCAAAGGTGCAGCCAAGTAGTGGCATAAAAGTGGGGATGCCCAAAGTGCATGTAGGACCCAAGGGATTCCAGTTTGACTATTTGAGTAGAAAGGTGTATCAACCAAGGCATAGTTGTGGACGCAATGTGATAGGCAGGTGGGCAGAGGCAAAAACTTATTGGCAAGAAATAGTAGCAGCAGTCCTTGTTACTGTCATTAACATCTCAGATCTGTCCCCCCTGTTGGACAACCTGACATATTGGCATTGACTAGGTCTGAGCTATCAGGTTCTCATCAAGACCATTTCCTTTTACAAAGAAAGTAAAAGTTTGTCCTGTCTCCCCCACAATTCCTTTCTTCTTACATGTCTTCATCTTCTGGAAGCCAGTTGGAAATGCCATAGGGCAGCAGGATCTCTAATGCCGGGGGTCTTCAGCAGTGCCCACTGATTTGTCTCAGGTTCTATCACTGAGCCACGAGATGTCATTGCACCACATGTTCGACAGATTTCCAGAATCTCAGACACTGGAGTGGGCATGAGAAGTAAATTTCATGGAACACACACAAATGTTCTATTTACACCCACTAGACTGCTCCCCAGCACCTTTATTCCCCTCTGGAAACACAAATTTCACTTATTTCCAACTGTAGCTAAATTTGGGTGATTTCTAATGTTTGTGAGCTCCCTAAGGGTAGGACTTGATGTGTCTGGTTCATTACTGTGTCCTTAGTATTTTATATATAGCCTGGCATGCATTCACCCCGCAAATCTTTTATTTGTACGTTCTTGATGTATTGTATTGTGTAGGCAACACCTTAAACTGGTAAATGATCCCTCAGCATGGTCTTATACCTGGTATGGGCCCAATGGCATCATGATTAAGAATAAAGACTGAAATCAGTCAGACCTGAGTTAAAAACCCAGCTCTACCTCAATCTAGCTGAGTGTCCCTGGACAGGACACAAAACCTCTATGCCTTCATTGTTCTCATTTCAGAGGTTGTTGCAAGATTTGAGATGAAACATGTAAATCATGGGGCCTTGAATACTATATGCTTCCCATTTACACTAATTACTAACATTGAAGTGCTGTTGCTGAATGAATGCATGGAGTTGACATTAAAACTTGAGTATGGGGCTAGGGTTGTGGCTCAGTGGTAGAGCACTTGCCTAGGATGTGTGAGGCACTGGGTTCAATTCTCAGCACCACATATAAATAAAGGTCCATGGACAACTAAAACAAAAATTAAAAAAAAAAAAAAGATTCGAGTATGTGTACATATATCATGAACTGCAGAGTACCATGCAGGGATGTTACCCAATTCCTGCCCACTGCCAAACTTCAAGCAGGCATACCACAGATATTGGTTGATTGGCCAAAGTTGTCTCCTTCCATTTCACCACCATCTTGTGAGGTATCATTTACAGGCGTCACAATGTTGCTACACTGACCCTTCCTGATGTTCCAGGTATTTGGAAAACAGATTCTTAGATATATCCTATCTCTTTTCAATTTTCTACCTATCAGTTTTTTAAACTTTTTTTTAGTTGATGGATCCTTTATTTTATTTACTTATTTATATGTGGTGCTGATAATCAAACCCAGTGCCTTACACATGCTAGGCAAGCACTCTACCACTGAGCCACAACCCCAGCCCCCATATCAATTTCATACACATGTATTTTTCATATATTTATAAAATTTTGTCAATTTGAAAAGCAAATTTGAACTAAAAACAAAAACACTATAAGGATCTCTTGGTAAGTATTATTTCCATCGTTTGAATAGCCCTCAGACTCTCTCTGTACTTCTCAGTGCCAAATTCTCAGGAGTCTTGAAGAATGGAATCTGATTGGCCAACACTAGCAGTATACATTCACGATGAAAGTAGTGACGGGCATTTATTTATTGAGGGCCTGCTGTGTGCCAACATCAGTCTCCCATTTTGCAGCTGGAAAAACTGAAGCTAAGAGGGTAAATGTCCACAGCCAGTAAATGGCAAGAGCTGGAACTGACCGACTCTTGAGCACCGTTTGCCAAGCCTCACGTTTCCTAATGTTTTACTTGGATTATTAAGTCCCCACTTACTAATGAGATTGCTGTGAGTTGAAACTAAGATAAAAATTCTTTTATCCCTATAGTTGAGAATGAGATATCAGCAGAAGCCAGGGGCCTTCACTTATCTTTGACTAAAGCCTAAGAGATAAGGGCACTGATGGAGACACTTGGTTGGAGACTCTAATAAGACCTGCGTTTCTGTTTCAGTGGTGTTGTGCTTTGTTTTTAATTCTCAAGTTCAATTCTGATTATCAGGTTTGTTGCTTTCTTCTCTTAAAGTGAAAATTAATAGCAAGGCTTGGAAGGGAACTTATATACACTTGGACTTTCTTCAAGGAATTGATGACTGACTATGAAAGTGCACTGAGCAGGCAGGAAAGAGGAAGCCTTGGAGGCCAAGTTAACCCAGCCACCCACTGACCAGTGTTCAGTTCAGCATACAATTGTGTTATAAACCCTTATTAGGTTGAACCATATGTAAGGGCCATTTTGCAGGTCAAAAGTAATTGAATACCAGCAAATTTATATGTTTAAATCTAATACATGCTAAGTACCCAGAAGACAGAGATTTCATTAATTTATTTGGTTTGGTTCCAATCAAGCAACAAATGTTCATTGAACATTGTTTGTAAGACTCTGGGTACAAAGATAAATGAAATCAAAATCCTGCCCAAGACTCACATCCTAGTAAAGAAATAAAAACAAATTCATGAGTTGTTAAATAATGTGAAACATGATAATTTTATCGTAAGAAAGAACAGGAGCAAATACTAAATAGATGACCAAATCAAGTATGATAGGGCTTCAGAGAAAACATCATTTAGAGTGAAATCTATGTAGTAGACTAGGTGTATAAATCAAGTAGAACTTGGATCAATGAAATAATCAGGCAATGCATAGAAATGTCAAGATACATTCTGTACAGCCAGTCTCAATCCAAGTTGTTAAAAAAAAAAAAAAAAAAAAGACAGGTACAGTGTGGGAGAGGCTTCCACACCATGATAGAGCCACACTCGTTATCCTGTAAGTAGAAAGCACCTGAAGCTAGTAAGAAAAGCAAGATCCTGGAAATCACACAGAAGATAGCGTAGCCACAGTTTACATAGAAGTATACTCAGAGAAGGACCTGGCCCAAGGTCATACAAGTAAATGGCAATCTGACCTTGGCCCAAGGCAATCAGGCAGCAAAGCCCCGCTATTAAAATATGTCCAAATAAAAATATGTCCACAAGTATTCTGCATACATCATTATTCAGAACAGCTAAAAAGTAGAAACAACCCAAATGTTTATCAACTGATGAATGAATAAATAAAATATGGTAGAACCAAGCAATGGAATACAACCCAGCCATATAAAGAATGAAGTACAGGGGCTGGGATTATGGCTTAGCAGTAGAGTGCTCGCCTAGCACACGCAGGGCACTGGGTTCGATCCTCAGCACCACATAAAACTAAATGAATGGAATAAAGGTATTGTGTCCAACTACAACCAAAACAATACTAAAAAAAAAAAAAAGAATAAAGTACAGATATATGCTATGACATGAAAATATTACAAGGAGTGAAAAAAGCCAGGCACAAATGACCACATATTCTGTGATCCTATTTATGTGGAATTTTCAGAGTAATAACTAGAAAGTAAGTTCATGTTTGCTTAAGGGCTGAATGAATGGGAAATGTGGAGTAACTGGTAATGGAGATGGAGGATAATTGGGGGGCATCAGGGGTGATGAAGACTTTCTAAATTCAGACTGTGGTGATGGTTACATTAATATATAATGATTCTAACACCCCCTGGATTAGCCAGGCATGGTGGTGCACACCTGTAATCCCAGCCTCTTAGGAGGATCTTTGAGTCCTACCTGGACAACATAGCAAGACCCCATCTCAAATCAACAACAACAAAAAAAACCTCACTGTATATTTTAAATGCATTTATTTTATGGTATATGAATTTCATCTCAGTAAAGCTGTTAACAAATGTTTAAGCATCTAAGATGATTCCAGGTTTGGGTATGCGCAGTGACCCCCAGAGACCAAATGGGAAAGAGTCAGATACTGGAGCTTGAGAACAGTCAGTGCCAGGTCTGTGCAGGAGACGGGTCCCATGCCAATCCTTCCAAGAGAAAACAAACCAGCCACAGCTTTTTCTGCAGCCGAGGAGCTGCCAGCTCCCTGTTAGCAACTTACTTGTGCTCTGCAGACACCAGTCCTAGACTCTTAACTGGTAACTTTCTGGTTGGCCAGATGCTTTAGAGTTCAGTGATAAGGATGCTGAATTCATTGTGTTTGCTTTGTTTTTGCAGTTTTTGAAGAGCCAGAGGATCCAAGCAACAGATCGTTTTTCTCTGAAATTATCTCTTCAATTTCGGACGTCAAGTTCAGCCACAGTGGGAGGTATATCATGACCAGGGACTATCTGACTGTGAAAGTCTGGGATCTCAACATGGAAAACCGCCCCATCGAGACTTACCAGGTACAGAACATCACCCATGCATAGATCCTTAGAGCAGTCCCTCTGAAGTCAGCCTTTGGAAAGGTTTGCAATGCGGAAGAATAAAAGGCAGTACATAGTGACATGTTTTGGTAAAATGCTACAGGCTGTAGGAGCCACAGGATTTAAATAAGAGTGCACACAGGCTAGAATTAATCCATATAGACTGAAAACTTAACACAGAATGGATGTAGAGATAAAGTGATCAAAACCAGCCTGACCCTGCTCTCATGGGTAACCATCTGGTAAAGCTGGGTGGTGAACAAGGAAATGAGTGTGCACTTATGCAAAGGATGGTGCTGGGTCCCTAGGAGCACATAATGGTGGCAGGAGTGGTGGGGGGCACTAGCCAGGTAAGAAAGGTGAAAAAGTGACCCTACCCTAAGTCTTGACTATCATGACCTCATGGACAAAAGCCTGTTCACCTTGAAAGGTGAACACACTATCAGAAAAATGAGCCTGAAGGAGGTGGTTAGGGCTCCCCCAGGTAGTCTCTGATAATGTAGGTTGCCTTGTTTTGTCTTCGGGATGGGTACAATGGAGAGCCATAAAGGTTTTTACCCAAGAAAGAATACTATATTTATCACAGTGTAGACTAAAGGACAGGATATAATGGTGACAGTAGATAGGCATACTTCTCACCCTGCCATCCTACTTCTTGAATAGGGAGGGAAGAGGAATCAAGAACACTATGTAGAGGGTTTTGGTTTTAGCTTAAGCTCTGGTAGATGGTGTGGAAATACTGATGAAGGGTTTTGCTGAAAAAGACCAGACTTTGAGGCAGAGAAGATCTAAAGAAGCCAATTCCAGGTAAGGCTACAGTGAAAGCAGAGATCAACTGATCTTATTTTAAGATGTCTTGGATTTGATTTTTTAAAAAAGAATAGGTAGATGCTAGACAGACATTTGACTCAGTTTTTTCCTTGACACATAATTCACATATCACAACGTTCACCCTTCCCAAGTGTATGATTCCATGAGTTTTAATACATTCACAGAGCTGTAGAACCCTCACCACTATCTAATTGCAGAAAAAAATTCATCACTGCTCAATATGTTCAAAAGAACATTTTGGTTGTGGAAGGGAGGAGAAACTATAAGGGGGGGACACATGAGTGAAAGGAGAGTGACCAAGATCTCTTTATTGCAGCAATGCAAAAGAGAGAGGGAGGGCAAGAGGGAGTTTTTATAGCCAAAATCTGATTGGATCAGACAGTAGTGTCATCTTCTGCCTTCAGGGGCAGGGGTCAGATGTGGGTTTCTGTTGCACCAGATGGGTGGGGGTCAAGTGTTCAGCCTTGAGGGAAACAGGTGATAAAGGACCAGACTGGGGTGTTTGAGTGGATGGGTTATCCTGCAGCTAACATTCCTCCCTTTTTGTTTTTCTAAGTGATGTGGGGGCGGTATGGGACCTACCAGGGAAAGTGGAGGAATGTCCAGGGCAGCCAGAAATAACATCCAGGGGCTATAGACAGTTATCTCAGAAGGGGCAAAGTCCATAAAGTTTCCTTGAAGCCATAGGTTATCAATGGCATCAAACCATTTCTGAGTGGAGGAGATCTTTGGTATCAGCCATTGGTCCTGTCGTAGGAACTCTAGGAAGGATCGGAGGTGGCTTGGTAGAATCCAGTAATGTTAAGGATGACAGCCCAATTACAGCCAGGGGAAGGGCAAGCGCCTTGACCCATAAACAGAGTGGGTGGTGCCATATTGCTTGGATATAGAAGCGCCATCTGTGGTTTGAGATAAGAATAATGATTAGTACAAGAAAAGGGTTGGCAAGAAATTTTGAGTTTGGTGGGCATGGTGGAAGTCCAGGACTGACAATTTGGAACAGATGACTTTTTAAGGCGGGAGACATGGTACCAGGGAGAGTGTTTAAAAGCTTGGTCACCAGTGGGGTAGTAAGTATGACTGTATGGGGTCCCGTCCAGTGAGGTTCTAGTGATTGAGAATGCAGTTCCTAAAGTTAGACTGCATCACCCAGTTGAAGAGGGTCCGATTCAGTTCCTTGTTGTGCCGGGATTGAGGCAATGGATGGTGTAGGAAGGCACCTGTCTGCATGTTCTCTTAGGAATTTGTGTAGAAGTGTGAGGTAGGACACAAGGGGAGGAGGAGTGATTGGAAAGCTTTGGTTGGTTAAGAAAGGGCACCCATAGAGTTGCTCAAAGGGGCTAAGGCCTGAGGGGTCTCTTGGGGCTGCCTGAATTCAGGTGAGGGACAATGGCAGGAGATTGGGCTAGGACAGCCTGAGTTCAATAGCAAGTTTAGTGAGATGATCCTTGAGAATGCCATTAGGCCTCTCAACCTTACCCGATGATTGGGGTCAACAGGGGATGTGGAGCCTCCAAGTGATGTTAAACCTTTGGAGACTAGTTGAACAACCTGAGAAGTAGAGGTGGGAAGTCTGAACCTAGGAATGATCTGCTCATTGAGGATGGAGGTGACAGTGTCAGCAATTTCCCTGGATGTAGGGAAGGTATCTATCCAATCAATCTTCGCCTGGCTGGTGGCTCCTCATCTGATGCATGGGGAGTTTAGGTTTGATGCTCTCTTGTGGGGATACAGTAGAGCAGTCAGAACGAGCAGAGCGGACCTTCTGGAGAGTAGTTCTCATTCCTAGGAAATGAAAGAGAGGTTGTAAAAACTGGAAAAGGGGTTAGAGAGGGTTTTAGATGGGGGCAGAGTCTCTGGAGGAGTTGGTCATGAGTCATAGGTCTCCATCTTGGGCATCAGGAACTGGTAGTCTTGAAGTAGTTGATTGACTGGTTGGTGAATCTGATCTTGCAGGAATTTCTGTAATCAATTTAACAGATACAGGACTAATAGGGGTCATACTTGACTAAACATTCCCCATGGAGACTGTTGACCTAATTGCTGTCTCCTCTTTCTCGCTGTTCTTGTCCTTCATTACCTCCAGGAATGACTGTTTTGGTTTAACAGGGTGTGGTAGATGTTAAAGATCAAGCTGGTCAAAATTGACTTTGTTTCTATCTATTGTTAGGGGTCATTCAAGAGCAGCTTCTTAGTTCTGCTAGTGCCATTTGCGCTAGGATGGGGTCCAGCCTTGCTTCATGTGGCTTCCCTTGGAAGCATCAGGGATGTCTCCTTTTTCCAATGACCCTCCTATTCACAGCAAGTGCGCTTATTGGCTTTTTATTCTCCAATGGTCTCATTAATCTCCCTGATCAGGAGGTTATGTGTCCCAGAGTTGCAAAGCTCTGTAGAGAAGTCCCTGTTCCCTGGATTCAGACTGACTCAGAGGGCAAGAGCCAAATATTGGTTTTCTTGGCCCTTTTAAGTCTTGATATTAAACATCTAACAAGTCAGTCTCACCAGTCTTAATTTAAGAGTACTGTGCTTTAGCTGAAGTCTGGCCTACTTTAGAGTCATTCTGATATGTAGTAAGATGGGAGGCAGAGCCTTATCTCAGGTAAGGCGGGGCTCTTAATAAATCTTAGGTAGTGTTCTAGTATTGAAGCTGATCTTTGTTTTTAAATATTTTATAAAGTTTACATATTGTTGTTTGAGGTCACATGAATACTAGCTAACACAATATGATATTACATTTAAATTATACCCCAGTGTATAGAATATTATTGATAACAGGTCCAGTTATAGAACATTAAATGATATAAATAAATCTCCAATGTTATAAGCCTAAAATTACCATGCAACTTTAGTTTGGAGAACAGCAGCTTGATGTGTTTTTTTTTTTTTTTAAAGCTTCTATCTTAATTACTTATATACCTGGAAAATATGAACACATTTAATATATAAAGAAGAGTAATAGTACCACAATTATATTGATGTTTTTATATTAATCAAGTTTAGCTCTTAAATAACATTACAATATTGCAAAATAACAGTTGTTAACCATAGTTGTATAATCCTTAATTCCTTCAAGATTACTTGCTCAAAACTCACATATATAACCAACTTACACACCTTCTTTAAACCCTCTTATTTACTTAATCACATAGAGTCCCTTATCCAGAAACAACTTTTCCTTCTATTAAATCCATACTTAGAACCTTCTAATTTCTCTTTCCCATCTGTTAATTCTTTCTTTATTCATACTTTGAAACAATCCTTGTAAATTTCTGAATTTAGGCAAATTTTAATAAGAGATATTTTGTTGTTTTCAGTATACAATCACATTTGTTTACCATTTCATGAAAACATATACCGTATTTAAGTATATAGAATTATACTGTTGTAGGGACAGACAGGGCAGTGAAGATAGGGAAACAGTTTTATTTGTTTGCAGCCAGGTTCAGAGGGCACAGCTTCTGCTGTAATCAATCAATCCCCTGAACCTCAAGTTCAGGTAGTTTCAGAATTTTATATCCAGCATATAAGGGGAGGGGCGCAGAAGTTTTTTGTTGTTGTTCTGGGCAAGTTAACCCTTCAAAGACACCTGAGGAGAGCTTTTTCTTCTCTTTCTTTCCTCTCTCTGCCAGCTGTTACCATGGAGCCCAGTTGGTAACTTCTCTATCTTAGAAATGTAGCCATCTCTGTGAATCCCCTGCTCAAGGCCAGAGGCCTTGTTTACATACTTTTGTGAAAAACTAGTAAGGGGGTGTCCCTTACCTGGAGTGCTAATTTTTTTCCAGCCAGGGGCCAAGTAAAACAGGGCAACAAGAAAAGAGGAAGTTTATCTACATTGAACTATTTGTAGAGACTCTTTTGCTGACAGTCCTAAAACCAGCCATGGTGAATATTGCTGGAGAAGGTCAGTTAAGACTTTTCTGTGGGCCTGGGTAGGGAGGGGGAAGGCGGGGCTGAGAGCAGCTCTGGTGGATCTGAGAATGAGGGGGGGGGGGAGGGAGGGAGATATAAAAGAATAGTGGAAAAGGGGTTTGGGATTTTCCCTAGCAAGGAAAACTTGAGCAGTAGAACAAGTAGAGCAGAGGGGAGGACAGGAGCAAATATCCCAAAAAGCCTGTAAGAGACAATTCTTAGTAACCTGTTTTTAGTGA